AAAAAAAAAAAAAAAAAAAAAAAAAAAAAAAAAAAAAAGTGCACACAAAAGGGAACTAATTTATACACCCGTCAGTCAGGCATAAGGAAGTGTAACAAATAAAACGGAGGGGCCAACACCTTTTTTGAAGCTGTTCGAATGCATTTATTCGCCGTTTGTGGGCTACACCATCGGCAGCGGTTGACATAGTTTAACGCGATTGACACAGTTAATGCGAATGACGCGCTTGCGAGTTTTCCCGTCACCATACCAGGGAGCAGCAACGAGAGAGGGGGGCGTCCTTCATTTCGTTTGTTTCGCCTATGGCACTCAATATGAGCGCTTTATGTTTGTTCTCCCCCTGTTTCCTACACATAATAACTCTGTCAGGGAGGCAAGGCAGATCGAATGAGGTGATATTATTTGTGTGAAGAAACCTATGCGACGTGTACAGACATAGGGGTGAGTGGCCCTTCCACTGGCCTAAGAATGATGCCCCCCTTGGGATGATCAAACATTCACACCTAGACGGTCAGCGAAAAGGTTCATGCGTTCTACACGGACGGTCGAGAAGGTCACTGGGTCACAGCTCCTACACCATGCAGGGTACCACGTCGCGTGTGCGTGGTTAATCGTTTCGCATAAGAAATAGGACACCTAAGTGCGCCATACTGCCCCAGTTGACCGTCGCCGTTTGTTTTAATCCACTGATGAGGCGAAACTAAATGCGCGTTCGAGTTCACGTTCACGTCCACACACGTAGGTACATATACACAGTGCGGCGTTGCAAACTGGTCGACGTATCACCCGTTCCTTAAGTCATCCTCCCAGCAGAGAGGACACACCCAGGGAGTTTCTTCTCGCGTCATGCGGACGCCAACCCCCGCTGTCGCAGCAAGCATACACAACATATGTATGTTGACATGTACGGATGCTCGTTAACATGACCGTACTTCTATGTCGATTTGGATGAGTGTGGGGGATGTCCTTTTTTTTTTGTCCCCCTTCATATTTGCTCATGTCTGTGACGAACCTTCAGTTTAAATGTGCAGCATTCAATCATTTTTAATGATGACTGCGTTTTTTTTTTTTTTTTAAACTGTCCGGTCGTCACATAATGGGTCATTTGGGGACGGCTTCCGAGGGGAAAACCCGTTTTCTGTTTTTCTTGTTTTTTTTTTTTTCCTTTTTTAAAGGTACTTGTAATTTGGTTTCGTCCCGTCGGCCCAATCGCGGTGACTTGTCATTGGTGACTGGTCGCCCGTCGCTGATCATTCGCGTTTGTTAACTCCGTCATCAAGTTCCTTTCGCCGCTATGCCGCTTTGTTTTTTTTTTTTTTTTCCTTTGTGTATACATATGCCGTACCCGCGCGAAGGCTGTTTTTTTTTGTTTTTATGGGTGAACAAAAAAAAAAAAAAAAATCGCTGAACCGTTTCAAGCCCCCGTTCACGTAGCTCACGTATGCCTGTTGCCGTCCCGGTTTTTTTATTTTCACTCTGTATTTTAATCTTTGCATTAATGCTCACATGCATGTTCGCACGCGCATTCGCGTTCATGTTCGTTTTCGCATTTGCCTTTGTGCCTTTGCGTGTTCTTCTGGTTTTATTGATCTGCCCCTTTCATTTATAGCC